TTTTTATTATTAGTTATTGTCATTATTATTGTATCTGGCCTGACATTGTGTTCCTCAGCTCTGGGCGGCGCCGGTGGCTCTAGCAGTGGCGTGGCGCGGCCGCAGCGCCCGGCGTACAAGCGCAAGATCTCGCACCAGCCCGTGACGGAGAAGGCCACGCTGCTCTTCACCCCGCACCTCAACGAAAGCCTCCGGCAGTCCCTGGCCAAGCGGGCGCGTTTGGGGCTGGCTCACAGCGCGGCCGCTCAATCGGGCGACCCTGAGCCCGAGTCGGAGGGGCTTCTGGTCATCGACGAAGAGAAAAGCAACTCTGGGGGGAGCTCTGGCGTGACGATGATGACGACAACAGCAACAACGACAACGATGACAAATGCTGCCACTGCTGCTGTTGCTGCTGCTGTAGTTCCACTGATGTCAACGTCATTGTCTGCTTCTTCTTCTCCTCCGTCTGTTGCTGTGGCGACGGGGACGACAGCTGCAGCCATTCTGCCCGTGGCGTTGTTCAAGAACTTGGAGGCGTCGAAGATGTCGTTGAGCTCGGATCCCCCGCCTCTGACACGGGCCGTGGGTGGTGGATCAGAGGTGGCAGCATCACCGCCACGCGCCGCTCGTTACCCGACTACAGTGTCGTCATCGTCGTCGTCGTCACCACTTGTGACAGGTCAGTCGGTGACAGAACTGACTGCTGCTGCTGTGAGTCTCACGTCAGCACCGCCGCCGCCTCTGTGTCAGACTGTCGCTGTGGCGTCAACTTCTATGCCAACTGCTGCGACGACAGTGTCGTTGTCATTGCCTGCAGCGGAAGTGGCCGCGCTGCCTCTGTCGACTGTGCCAGTGACAAGTGTGTCAATAGTGCCGTCGTCAGTGACAAATGTGACAGCGGTGCCACTGTCAGTGCCATCTTTGCCGTCAGTGACGAGGGCTCACAGCTGTGGTCTGTGTGACAAGGCGTTCCCTTCTCTGGAGCTGCTTAAGGTAAACACTTGTGTGTGTGTGTGCGTGTGAGTGTGTGTGTCAGTTCTGTGATGCTGGTTTCGCGATGACTAAATATATGGTAAACAGATAGTTTAGTCATTAAGACATTTGGGGATGAAAGATCAGATAGTTTAGTCATGATGACATTTGCGATGGCTATATATCGCAACCTCAGTGCTTTCTTGCAATGACATATAGGGTAAACAGATAGTTTAGTCATGATGACATTTGGTGATGAAAAATCATAATTGTGAACAGATAGTTTAAACATTGAACAAATTGTTGAGACATGATGGCATATCGAGACCTCAGTGCTTTCTTGTCCTATCTCCATCTTTTTTTACAGTGAAAATGTGACTTCTTCGAAAGCTCACTCTTTGTTATGAACTTTTTTCACTGTTGTTAAAAATGGAGACAAGACAAGAAAACACTGGATGTCTCGATATGGTGAACAAATAGTTCAGACATGACGGTGTACGATGAATAAATAGTTAAAACATGGTGTATGGTGAACAAATAGTTAAAACATGATGGTGTATGGTGAACAAATAGTTAAAACATGATGGTGTATTGTGAACAAATAGTTAAAACATGATGGCGTATGGTGAACAAATAGTTAAAACATGATGGCGTATGGTGAACAAATAGTTAAAACATGATGGTGTATGGTGAACAAATAGTTAAAACATGATGGTGTATTGTGAACAAATAGTTAAAACATGATGGTGTATTGTGAACAAATAGTTAAAACATGATGGCGTATGGTGAACAAATAGTTAAAACATGATGGCGTATGGTGAACAAATAGTTAAAACATGATGGCGTGTGGTGAACAAATAGTTAAAACATGATGGCGTGTATGGTGAACAAATAGTTAAAACATGATGGCGTATTGTGAACAAATTTGTCAAGACGCGGTGGAATCAGGCGCTTGTCAATTTTTGGGCATATGGGTTGTTGGTATTATCTCAAAGCTTGTTCTTTTATCTTGCTTTTGATTTTTTTTAAATACGTTTTTATCTTGAATAAAAGTCAAGATTTATGAGATTGATTGAGGAGGGGGGTCGCCTGGTTTCAGATGTATGTGTTGTGCGTCTACTGATGTGTATTGCTACATTTCATCAATTCTAGATCTTTGGATATGATTTTAATAGAATTGATGAAATGTATAACACCACACGTATAAAAGAGATATAAAGCATTATAAACGACCCATCCCACCCCCTTTCCACGTAAATTGTAAGATCACGCAGCGGCAGATATGTACCTCCAAAAAAGAAAGAAAGAAAGATATAAAAGAAGTTTTTTACCATCTAGCATATAAGGCTTTTGTCAGAATGAGCATAGATGTGTGTTATTCTTTAGAGTATGTATCTATATAACTCCAAAGGTCTTGTAATTGAATTCCTGCATGTGGTTGAATGATGCATTGATGTAAATGTACATTTTGTCTGCTTTACTTCTCTTTTCAATATTAAATTTGTAATGAGAGTAATATATAATTCAAATTTTTTATGTATAACTGTTTTTACAGTCCTGTACAGTTGTACAGCCTAGAAAGATTTCCCTCTGGGATAGTAAAGTACTATCTTATCTTATCTTATCTCATCTTATCTTATCTTATCTCATCTTATCTTACCTTACCGTACCTAATCTTATATTATCTTACCTTATCTTAAATCTTGTCTTGTCTTGTCTTATCTTATCTTATCTTATCTTACCTTGTCTTGTCTTGTATTGTCTATCTTATCTTATCTTATCTTATCTTATCTCTGTCCCCCAGCGCCACCTGCTAAGCCATGCGGAGCCTCGCCCCTATGTGTGTCAGTTCTGTGATGCTGGGTTCACCAACGACCGAGCTCTACGCACACACCTGCTTACTCATGGACAGGTTGGTACAGTTGTTAGTGTGTGTGTGTGTGTGTGTGTGTGAGAGAGTTCTGTGATGCTGGCTTCACCAACGACCGAGCTCTATGCACACACCTGCTTACTCATGGACAGGTTGGTACAGCTGTGTGTGTGTGTGTGTGTGTGGGTTCTGTGATGCTGGGTTCACCAACGACCGTGCTCTACACACACACCTGCTTACTCATGGACAGGTTGGTACAGTTGTGTGCGTGTCTGTGTCTGTGTGTGTGTGTCTGTGTGTGTGTGTGTGTGTGTGTGTGTGTGAGTTCTGTGATGCTGGGTTCACCACCGACAGTGCTCTACGCACACTCCTGCTTACTCATGGACAGGTTGGTACAGTTGTGTGTGTGTGTGAGTTCTGTGATGCTGGCTTCACCAACGACCGTGCTCTACGCACACACCTGTTTACTCCTGAACAGGTTGGTAACACCTCTAACCTTCGGCACTTATATGACCTTATTGTATTGCAAGTGACGTAGAAACTTTTACTAAAGCTAAAGATCTTTTCTCATTTTCCCTGGGTCAGGATCGCCCATACATCTGCGGTAACTATGGCAACACATTTGTGTTTGTTCCTCTCTTGTAACACCACTAACTAATCTTTAGCATCTTATATGACCTTATTGTATTGCAAGTGACATAGAAAAAAACTTTTTAAAAAACTAAAGATCTTTTCTTATCTTCCCTGGGTCAGGATCATCCATACATCTGCGGCAACTGTGTTTGTTTCTCTCTTGTAACATCTCTTATCTTTCAGTACCTTATTGTATTGCAAGTGACGTAAAAAAAAAAAAAACTTTAAAAAAAAACTTAAAATCTTTTCTCCTGTTCCCACCGATAGGATCGTCCATACATCTGCGGTAACTGTGGCGACACGTTTGTATTTGTTCCTCTCTTGTAACACCACTAATCTTTAGCATCTTATATGACCTTATTGTATTGCAAGTACCGTAAAACTCTTACTAGTAAGTGGGTGGTTGGCGGGTGTGTTTGCTCTGGTGTGGTTTGCTCCTTCTTTCCTATCAAACATCTATCATCCTTATCTCCCCTTCTTCTTTTTTATGTTTGCTACTCTCTTGTAACACCTGTAATCTTCTGGCGCTCATATGACTTTATGCAGTTGCAAGTGCCGTAAAACCTCTTCTAAAAAAAAAAGAAAAACTTTTTAAAAAACTAAAAATCTTTTCTTATCTTCTCACATTCAGGATCGTCCGTACATCTGCGGTAACTGCGGCGACACATTTGTATTTGTTCCTCTCTAGTAACACCTTTGATCTTTAGCTTCTTATATTACCTTATTGTACGAGGGTATTGCTAGTGACTAGAAACTTTTACTAAAACTAAAAATCTTTTCTCCTCTTCCCACCGACAGGATCGTCCGTACATCTGTGGTAACTGCGGCGACACGTTTGTGTTTGTTCCTCTCTTGTAACACCACTAATCTTCGGCACTTATATGACCTTATTGTATTGCAAGTACCTTAAAACTCTTGGTGGGTGCTCTGGTGTGGTTTGCTTTTTCTTTCCTATCAAACATCTGTCGTGCCTATCTCCCGTTCTTTTTTATGTTTGTTACTCTCTTGTAACACCTCTAATCTTCTGGCGCTCATATGACTTTATGCAGTTGCGAGCGCCGTAAAACCTCTTCTAAAAAAAAAAAGAACAACTTAGTAAAAAACTAAAACTCTTTTCTCCTCTTCCCACCGACAGGATCGTCCGTACATCTGCGGTAACTGCGGCGACACGTTTGCCCGGCCCCAGGATCTGCAGCTGCACTACTCCAGCCACTCCTCCACGTCCATCCGCCAGCCGCCCACCTCCTCTTCCATGCAGCAGGGAGGAGCCTCCTCTTCCTCCTCCTCCTCCTCCTCCGCCTCCGTGCGACAGATGACAGTCTCACCCTCCTCCTCCTCCTCCTCCTCTCTCACTCCTGTGGGGATTTTGCCTGTGCAGACAGGGCTGGTGGGTGGGGGGTCAGCGATGGTTGGAACTGCACAGAGAGTTGCTGAGACTACCGAAGCCGATGCTGTGTTGTCGGCGGTTATGGGGTCGTTGGGTGGCCCAGTGCAAGATGGACCCGGTGTAGCGAGTGAAAACGCGGTGCACGGCGTGCGGCAAGACAGGCTGGAAGTGGCGAGTGAAAGCGCTGCGCCACATGGCATGCAGCTGGATGACGCGAGTGGCAACAACTCTGACCCAAACTCCGATCCTGCAGGAGGTGCGAGAGGTTTTGAGGCCACGGCGGAAATGTCGCTCAGGAGACAGGCTGAAGCTACGGTACCGGCCGTCGGTGGGGCAGAAGTTGTGGTCTCGTCTGTCACTTCGGTGCCGTCGGGCTCGTCAGCTAGACCACCGCAAGCGGAAGTGATGACATCCTCATCTACGGTAGCGTCGTCGTTGAGTGCGGTGCGAGGGGCAGTGGCTTCCTCTCTGCTCCCCACCACCACCACCACAACCTCTTCTTCCTCCTCCTCCTCCTCCTCCCCCTTCTCTTCTACTCCAGGCTTATTGGCATCACAGCATGTCCAATCGGCTCTAGTCATCTCTGACTCTTCCTCCTTCACCTCTTCTTTCACCACATCCTCCTCCTCCTCCTTCACATTCACCTCCACCGCCCCCTCAATACCTTCTACAATCACGTCCACGTGTGCGTCTGTCGGCGAGTCTGGTCGCGGCGTTCAGACCGGTGGGGACAACTTTGGTGTCAGCAGCATCATCCCCACCACCACCACCGCCACTGCTGCTTCTGCAATCATCAATGACAACAGCAACAACAGCGCAGACACCTTCACCATCGCCACCCACGACGCGACAGCAGCCAACAGCTCATCAGACGGCTTCGTAAACCATCAGCAGCAGCAGCAGCAGCAGACTGAAGGATTGACCGTCCTCAGCGCTAGTAGAGCTGGCCGTGATGCTGCTACTGCGGCTGCGACCAGTGGTGCTGGTGATTGGGGAGAAGACCAAGGAGAGCAGCAGCAGTGTATTCAGCAACAGCAGCATCAACAGCACATGTCACAACAGCATGAACAGCAGCAACAACAACTCTTGTCACAACAGCAGCAACAGCACATTCCACTACAGCAACAACAGCAGCATCAGCAGCTCATGTCACAACAGCACAGACAGCAGCAGCCACAGGCCGCCCCCACCCCTCCCTCCACCAATCAGATGTCACTAGTCCCGCCCCCAACCCCTCCCTCCACCAATCAGATGCCACTAGTCCCGTCCCCTGCCCTTCCCATGGGAGACCAGTTGCTGTCGGACCCTCCCCGCTTCCCTCTCTTCACCAACCAGACATCGTCATCCTCTTCTTCCTCCGGTACTTCCACCCTCCTCCCACACCTCACGGGCTCCGCCTATCCACCCATCGGTACAGACAGCGACAGAGATGACATATCGGACTGCCATACTGATCCCGACAGGACTCAGACCTTAGAACAAGCATCTGTAGCTCATGAAAGCATGGAATACCAAAACGTCTTCAGTGATGAAAACATGTCGGCACAAGAGAGTATGGAATATCAAAGTGGCTTTGATGGAGAGAGCACACAGGGATTTACTTTGGCAGAAGATGAGGAGGAGGAAGAGGGCAGAAATGTGGATAGACAGAGTCATTCTGATCCGGTGTTCCTTCCTCAGACATACTATGGATTGTCTTAAATCTTAATGAGGTCATCAGTATAGACAGAGTCATTCTGATCCGGTGTTCCTTCCTCAGACATACTATGGATTGTCTTAAATCTTAATGAGGTCATCAGTCTAGAACTATGAGCAAAGTGTGGATTGTTTTAGCAGTCATGAGTGTAAAACTATATGAGCAAAGTGTGAATTGTCTTAGGACCGACATATATGTGTTGAACGTGAGCAAAGTGTGAATTGTTTTAACAATCATGAGTGTAAAATTGTGAGCAAAGTGTGAATTGTTTAAATGATCATCAATCTAAAACTGTGACCAAAGTGTGGATTGTTTTAGCAGTCATGAGTGTACAACTATATGAGCAAAGTGTGGATTGTTTTAGCAGTCATGAGTGTAAAACTGTGAGCAAAGTGTGTATTGTTTAAATGATCATCAATCTAAAACTGAGCAAAGAGTGGATTGTTTTAACGGTCATGAGTGTAAAATTGTCAGCAAAGTGTGAATTGTCTTAGTACCGACATATATGTGTTGAACGAGAGCAAAGTGTGAATTGTTTTGACTGTCATGAGTGTAAAACTGTGAGGAAAGTGTGAATTGTTTAAATGGTCATCGATCTAGAACTATGAGCAAAGTGTGGATTGTTTTAACAATCATAAGTGTAAAAGTGAGCAAAGTGTGGATTGTTTTAACAGTCAGGAGTGTAAAACTGTGAGCAAAGTGTGAATTGTTCAAATGATCATCAGTCTAAAACTATGAGCAAAGTGTGGATTGTTTAACAATCATGAGTGTAAAACTGTGAGCAAAGTGTGAATTGTTTTGACAATCATGAATCTAAAACTATGAGTGAGGAGTGGATTGTTTTAACAATCATAAGTGTAAAACTGTGAGCAATGTGTGAATTGTTCAAATGATCATCAGTCTAAAACTGTGAGCAAAGTTTGGATTGGTTTAACCATAATCAGTCTAAAACTGAGCAAAATGTGGATTGTCTATTCCATATGTACTGTCATATCAAGTGTAGAACTATGAGCAGAGTTTTGTGGAGGGCTGTATACCGTCTTTTGACTAGTTGCTTTGTGTATACAATATATTTATGAATTTATGTGAATGTTGCTAAGCAGTCAATTTCATCTGATATGACGAATGTGTAGAAAAATATGAGTTGCTCAGTCACTTGAGATTGGCTTACCCGCCTCTGTGGTGCAGCGGTTAGGCTCTTTGACATCGCAACCGTAAGGTCGTGGGTTCGAATCCCGTGAGGGGCCCGACGTTGTGTCTTGTGGAAAGGTTACGTGAATTTTCCTCGCTTCACCCAGGTAGGAATGGGAACCCAGATAAAGGCAGTGAAAGATCTTGTCAGTTTGTGTTTGTGTGTACGTCTGTGTGTGTGTATGTGTTTGTTTGTGTGTGTGTGTGTGTTTGTGTGTGTGTGTGTATGTTAGTGTGTACATAATTTAGCTGCTGGAAGAAAAGAGAGAGGCCCAGAGAAAGAAAGAGAGAGGCCCAGAGAAAGAAAGAGAGTGGCCTAGCGAGAGTGAAAGAAAGAAAGAGGCCTAGCGAGAGAGAGAGGGGGAGAGAGAGAGAGAGAGAGAGAGAGGCATAACGAGAGAGAGAGAGAGAGATAGATAGAAAGAGGGGTTGTTTTTGTTTGTTGTTGTTGGGTTTTTTTTGTTTTTTTGGGGGGGGGATGGGATTGTTGTTTTTTCTGTGTGTGTTTTTGGGGTATTTTAACAACTTCCTCTGGTATATATATATATATATATATGTGTGTGAAGTATCAAACAAACAGGCTGACTGTGTGTCTCTGAGGTATTGTTCTCCAGGCTGTGTTTCCCATGTTTCTTAAACACGGAAAGTAAAGTAAAGTAAAGTTGTTCCCGCATCCGATGCGGACATTAGGGATTGCCTTGTTAGTGAGACAACTTCCTGGGCCTTGGGCGTTATATTGTGGTAGGGTGGCCGGCTCCTTTCCCTCCACGCCGCCTTTACGTACTGGACTTGCAGGGATGCCAAATTTCAGGTTTTTCAAGCTTTTTCAGGTTGGTTTTTTTTTTTCTTCAAAAATCATTTTGCATCCCTGAAGAAGAAGGCCAGTGACTTAAGGTCCCTTTTCTCAAGGCAGATACAAGTATAATGTTACTGGAATTGGGGGAACAAAGTCCGCCCCATACCCTTGTAAAGGAAAGGGGAGGGGTAAGAGAGGTGTTTTT